CCTCTTTATTTCCTCATTTTCATAAAAATTTATAATAGCCCTCCTCTTACACTGTATCCAAAATATTGACTCTACTGAATAAATAAAACACGAGCATCTTGCAGGCAGAATATGATCTCAAGAGAGAGAGAGAGAGAGAGAACAAACAGCATTGAAACATCCTTCCCTAACCTAATTCACAACAGAAGGCTCACATTAGAAAACATCTCCCCTCTGCTCCCCACCACCCTCCAAAGCCCCATCTCACAGCAAGGGAGCGAGAGGCATAGCATGGTTCACCTGGGAGGAGCAAGCAGAAGTGCAGCTACTACCTGAAAACAGAAAAGCTCATGGCAACACCCTCTGAAGAGCTTGTACCAATACCTGTAAAATGTACAGTATAATCAAGTCCTAGAGAGATTGCTATGTTCACACAGGTTTTATCAGCATGTAACAGATGTGCTTACCTTTACCAGAACATGCCTGTGTCCCTTGCTGGTCTATATGTGATCCAGACACAGAGAGGCTGCTCTTAACAGAAGCACACGGGGTTAGCCAGAAAGGACAACCTTACAGAGAAAGGAGTCTCAACATGCCTTCTGGAAAATGCCTCTCCCATGAACCCCAGCAACAGCCTGAACTAGGAAGAAGGGCTGTTGGCAATCACAGAGCCCAAGACGTTGTGCTAGAGGACAGGGAATATCAGGACAACAGCCTGGGCCACTGCAAGAACAGTAACGGCAACGTCCCTCATGGCCTGGGGAAAGGCAGCTGCTGATGGCCCCAGGTCGGCCAGACCTGAGCTCTGGCTCCGCAGCTGGCTCTCACAACATGGCTGGGATCAGGGTGGCGTCAGGTTGCAAGCATGAAGTGTTGTGAGTGCTTTCTTGAGGATGGGTCAAGGCCAGCTCTGCAGGCCTGAATCCAAAATATTAGCTGGCGAGGCAGCAGCAAGAGGCAAGCTCCCACCCACTCCCAGGGCAGCCAGATGCCAAAGGCCTGTGTCCAGGGCTGAGCTAGCTAAGTCCCAGCCAGTGTCACGTACCAGCCCCTCCTATTGTGCCAAGCCTCAAGACTTCCCCGAAACTACCTCTTCCTCCAGCTCCCTTGCCATGATCTCTCCCCATCCTTCTCTCAGAGACCACTGCTTGACTTTCCTCCTGAGCTGGACTCTTTGGCAGCAGGCTGCTCCCCGGCCTGCCTAGTATCTGACGTCACCCCAGCAGCTTGCTACGCTCTCCCTCTCCTGCTGCAAACAGCCACTTTCTTAGGGCGAACCGCCCAAGTCTGTTTGGGCCTGAACTCCCATAGGGGACAGGGTTGGTAAAGACAGGGTTGGCCCTTGGCACACACTCCTTCCTGTACCCATCTGCCCACCGTGTTAGTAGCTGGCAGATGGCCCAGCAGTCTTCTCCTGATGTAATAGGAGGGTAAGCAGGAAAGGAGCAATTACCGAATGCACTGGCTTTCACTCCAGGTGAAAGGCTAGCAAGGTGTGTGCCAGGGCAGGGGGGACACTTGGAAATCAAACAGTCTGTTGGTGGATAATCACATAGCTCCTCTCGTACTTGCTGAACCAGCTAAAAGCAGAGTACCACAGCCAGAGGACAAATGGATAAGGAGCCCTTGCTTCAGACTGGGTCAGGTCTCTCCAGCTGGAGCAGAGAGCTCAAGAGAACAAGCTCTATTATCAGTCAGGTCACAGGTCAGACCAAAGCGGGATGACTGCTGCCCATCTAGGATGCAGCAGCAAAGAGCAAGAGCAGCTGCGGAGGAGTCAGAAGTTCAGCACTCAATGGTCTTTTCCAAACATAAATGAAGTAAATGCAGCAGGCATCTCCCCTGAAGCATATCTGGATTATGAAAGAACTGGACAAACCCAGTCTACCCTCTCCTATGACTAGCGACAACATTCTGGATGTGGAGGCCAGACTTGCAAGGAGAGCTGGCTGCTGAGTCCCAGATGCAGTGCAGTGAAGGGGACGGGAGAACAAGGAGGCTGACTGTATGCTTGATCTGCCAGTTAAGGACAGGTCCAAGGCCAGTGATCCCAAGTCCTGCAGTCCAGCCAATGCATAAAGCCTCCTTGCACATACCATGAGCCCAAGCCTACTCCTGTCTACCAGCTACGGCCAGGCTACAGCTGCACCAAAGCCACCTGCGTGCATGGAGGGCAGGTCAGCCAGGGAACCTGGCATGCTGCAGCTCTGTCCTCTTGAAGAGGAGATACAGGCTATGGATCAAGAACTGCAGCATCTTGTTCTCTCACATTTCAAGTCAAAGGATGTTATAAAACAAGGCTGTCTCATCCTCCAGCCCTTTGCTTTCTCAAGGATCACTTGGATGTTCATAATGAAGCATTCAAGGACTTTATCATCAAACCCGTACACCTGAAGTTTGGTATGGAAGAACTTTTTAGGCCCTTCAAGAAATGGCTCAATTATCAAAAAGCACCTTAGCAGCCTCTGTGTGTGAAGGCTCCCCACATTTTATACAGAGGAAGAAAAAAAAAAAGGTACCTCAGCACTCAGGGACCTGTTAGAAAACCTTGGTTAGAGGTTACTGATCAGCGGAAGCATTCACCTAAGAAACACCCCACCTTTGGCAATAACATTTTGCCTCAAAAACTTCCTCATAAAGCTTCAAGTGGATGAGAGCAAGGTAGGACGGGCAGAAGAAAAACTGTTTCCACAGATGGTTAAGCAGCTGCCAGATCCATTCCCAAAACAGCTGTACTTCAGCACACAAACCTCGGTGTGGGAAAGGGAGGCTGGTAGGCATATAATTTGAGAGGAAATAAAACAAAAACAGTCACCCTTTACAGGAAAGAGAAGTTTAAAAAACTTAGGAGAAGCCCTCTCAGGATCTGTTTGCAGACAGCAGGGGAGTAACCCTGCTTCCATGCCAAAAAACAGCCTGACATGACCTTGCAAAAATAGCAACATTTTGCCCTTCAGCAGAGCCTCACCAGTGGATCTCACTGCCCACACTCCTCCACAGCAAATTAAGAGCATATTAGTCACAAACACTTTGTTTAGACCAGCCAAAGTTAAGGACTGTTGTCTTTTGTAGAAACTTCTTCTGCAGACTTGCAACCCAGCCTCCAAGGGCCCAATTTATGGCTCTTTCTACACATTGCTGACAGAGTATGGATCACTTCAAATTCTAAAGAATTCTATGGGCCAGGATCTTGACTCCCACTTGGTGTATGGGTAATCTTCAAGTGGCAGAGATCGGCCATCAGCAGAATTACTCCAGCTGCTCTGCTCACCTCAGGCACAGGACCAGCCAGAAGCGCACACAGCTGCAGCCAGCCTTTTGCCAGAGGAAGATGACTCATGTCTGTGAGCTAAACTGTCTAAACAATCCAGGAGCATTTTGGTCCCACCACTATGGGAGCAAGAGACACTTTGCTTTACTCTATCAGGTGACCTTGTTTATGCTGTGCCCTGATAAGAATCTTGACTCCTGTCTGGAAATTTAAAAAAGTATAACATAGTAAATGCATAATGAGGATCAGCAAACCACAGGCACAACTGGCCCCAAGAGTTTCTGTCCTACTACTTCTCTTGTCCAAAACACCAAGAATTAGATTTACACTGCTCTGAAAGCAGCTGCCATAGTGGCTGTAGGCATCTTTCATCCTATCTACCTCCTGTTTAGGACACTGTCTCGATCAGGCTGCCTGGCTGTGCTGACAATGCATTAATTCAGCCAACATGCTGAACACTGGGGTGCAGTGGGCTCTGCAAGGTGCCCTCCAGCCTGCCAGCAAGCATAGCCCCAGCCCTTTCTGTTTGGGAGGAAGGGTCTGGTCTAGAAGGTTGCTTCGGGGCCACGTTTTGCAGGGAACGCTGACACAGCCAGCGACTGACGAGAGGTAGCTACTGAAGCACTGACTACTGCTGAGTTCAGCTGGCCATCAGGGACAAGCAATTCCTCCACCTTCCTCAGGCCTGGTATGTTTGGTCCTGAGCTCTTGGGATGACCTTCTAGGAGGCATCTCTCTGTTTTACTTCATCGTTATAGGACCGAAAACCCTCAGAGAACGGCTTTTCCTTCTGATGTTGCTGCATCTTTTTAAGACCCAGATGTAAAAGGCGAACGACCCAGGTGTAGAAGCCTAGATCTGTTACAAGGCACTGGAAGAGAGAAGGCTACACTTCTGAGCTCTGAGGAAGGCAAGATCACAGTTAATCAGAACTATGTGGGGAAAGTTAGAACAGTTGGTTCAAAAAAAAAAAAGTCCTTTCCATCTGATGAATCTCGGTACATAGGTAAAAGATAAGTCACCTTTTGGAACTGGTCCTAATGAAATGTTATTTGTTTTTCTAAAACAAGGCATAATAACTTTTCTCCTAAATTGGTTTCTGCCAGCCAGAACAGAGATTGGGAAGGGCTGGAGCACATGTGTACACATAGGCACCCCGCTTTGCTCCCTGGTTACATCTTAGCCACCCAGCCTTTTTCAAAGCAAATCTCCTCCCAATGTCCTATTTGAAGAAGTATTACTCAAGAAGTTGAGTAAAACTAGAGCAAGCAGAGGAAGAGGATCCAACTACAAATGGAAAACAGCATAGTCAATGATCTCTTCCTCCCTTCCCCATACCACTGCTTCTCCTGCTCAGCTTAGGTAGAATTACACAGGAACATGACCCGTTTTTAAAGGAAAAGTCCATTTCCTTTCTCTCACCCCTACAATCTCCTTTGGTGCTGCTTGTGCAGTGCTTTCCTTTGATAAAGGCACCACGTAAAAAGCACTGATGGTCCGAAGCACAATGCCCCGATGCCTCATATTTACACCTGAGATAAGCTCTGCTGCATCTCTCCTGCCCCCAGCCCAAGAACAGATCCCTAGGGCTCCCAGAAACAGCATGGGGAGAGCACACACAACACGAGGCTTCCCACAAGTGGCTATGTGAACGTACACACGTGTCTTGTTTGGCCACACACAGGCACCCACCCGCGTGCTGCCCCTGTGTCTTCCACATCACACTGAATACTTGGCCATGTCACTCTTATCAAAGACAACTTTGGTTGCAAAGTAAATGGCTATGAGGCCAAAGCCAGCAGCTGATACCATGTAGGCAGTCACTGACTGTGTGAACTGGACGATAGACCCCATGATGAGGGACGGGACAACCTGAGAGAGGAGGAAAGCACTGTCCAAAATGGCCAGGTCCAGACAGATCCCTCGGCCAGGGGCCACAGAGTCCGGATCTCCCACCATCATCATGAGTGAGACCTCACAGGAGGAGCTGACGCACAGGGCCGAGCTGGCAGCTGGAGGAGACGAGGAGGAAGAGGAAGAAGAGAAGAGGCCTCCAGAGTGTCCATTCTGGTAAGGCAGCTTCTGGCTGGAGAGAAGGCCTTTAGGGAAGACCGATTTCTTGTCCAACTGAGCTGTGTCTTCCTCCTCTTTGCTTTTATACTTATGCAAAAATACCTAGGGGAAAGAAGGAGGGCAGGTGAGGAATGAGGAGGAAGGGTGGAGCCCAGCAAGCAAGGTGAGAGCAGGTGGGATGCTGTGTATAAAAAGAGTAAAAACAGCCTGGGCTTTGTCTATGCTGGGTCAGGGCTGTCAGAGGGTAGGGAGTGCCTGCAGTGAGCCTGACCCATGTGAGATGGCCCCCAGCAGCCAGCCTGCCTTTTCCTGACTAGCACTGGAGTCAAAGCAACCCTGACTCACTGGAGGAATCTGTCCAAGTGGTGCCTTTGTTGTGTTCAAGCTTTGCGGCTCAGCGGAGCGCTGCAGCCCAAAGCCAGTCCAGGCTCTGCACTTCGGGACGTTTTACTCTGAGCTTTGGGCCGTCACCTCCTCACTAGCCACCAGGGGAATCAGTCAAGTCATGCCAAGCAAATCAACTGAACTTTAGAGGCCTGGCCCTTTCCCTGTCACCAGGGAGTTAAATGGCCTGATTCCCAGCTCAAAGTGGGGAGAAGACAACCCAACCTCACTTTCCACCAGCTTTATCATGCCCTTCTGCGGGACTGAACTACAGGGCAGCAGCTCCAGTTCACCCCATCCTGAAATTGGCTGATACACACTTTCAAAATAGCAGCGAAGGGTCAGAGCCTACTTTGAACGTACCAAGGGCTGAACAGTCCATTCCAGGGCTAACAGCAGTGTTAACAAGGTGACTGACTGAGAACTCAAAACTTTCCTGCAGAGCAGCCCTAAGGGCAGATGAACTGTTCAGAGCCAGCCCTTGCCTATCCAGAATACTTAAAAGCAACACCAGCTGAGATGGCACAATGCTGGGACTCGGGAAAGAGCTCTGTTCTCAGCTCTGCAAGAGGCCATGCGTGACCTTGAGTGAGTCGCCTCATCTGCCTGAGCTGAGCCTCCTTACTCAGTCTAGAAAAGTGGTGAAACAATACTCTTTTTTTTCCTCACCCTTTCTTTTTTGCCTTGCTCTGCTCAGGCTGTGAGATCACATGGGCATGGCTCACTCTAGCAGTATTCACGGAGAGAATTTGGTTCAAAAAGCTCTCCATATTAACACCAATAAATAATGGACAGTCATATGCAGAGAGCAAAAATGCTGCAGAGCCCCGGCTTTAAAACTCCATGGCATTTACAATTAAACACAACCTCCCGTCTGCTTGGGGTAGTGCAGATAACGAATGACATGTTAATCCATTCTCCACATGGTGAGATAGAATAAACCAGGAAAACAGTTAAGGGGGAAGAAAGCGCCCACTCGTCTCAGAGCAGAGAGCACTGTATCCAGCTCCAGGCTCAGAAGGGCTTGCCTGAACTACCTTCCTTTTTGCATGAGGGACAGGGACACAGATCACTGGGAGGGAACTGCTACTGCAGGAGTGTGGGCACCTCAGCTCTGTTCCAGGCCATCCAAGAGCTTTCAGCAGTCTTGGCACCTGCCCAGCTATACCCAGCCCTGCCCTAGCATATGTCAGCACCAGCTAGGCTCTGTTCATGCTGCCCCAGGCCATGGCTGCAGTTCTGTAATGCAATCAGTTTCAGATTCAAGTAGAGGAGAGAAACCAGATGAGATGAAGTTCACTAAATCCAAATCCTCTTCCAAAAGCTTTACTTGGGCTCTGCTCAGCTGCTCGCTGTACCCTTCAACCCCATGAGCCTGCCTCAACTTATGAATGTAAGCCCAACTGCACAAATCCAGGACTGGCACGTACTTTACATGGACCTTAAAAACCTCCCGTGTGCCTCCTATCGCCATCAGACTTCAAAGCAACTCAAAACCCAGAACAGAAAGGGCGCTGTGTGAGCCAAGCTAGGACGTGCCACCCATTTCCAGCCCCTTCCTATTTGACGCCGGATGTTCCCAGAAGCATGCTCAGCTGCTCTGAAGGCTCATGCTGCATTCTTTTGGTTTCTAGCCTGATTTGAAATAGGACTTCAGAGGTATGAGTTCTGGCAGGGATGTTTGCGTAGCTACTGTAGAGAAAGCAAAATCCATTTAAACACATACTCAACAGGACCAAGCTTAGTAGAAACTTATGCTTTTAAATCACCCTTTGCAATATGTGATACAACCCCAGGACACACTGGTACCTAAATCAGCAGCTTCATCTCCCTCTAGAGTTGATGGGGACTGGTGGGAATGAGGGACCTACTTCTCTCTAACCTCATGCAGAAGATGTGAAGGCCTACCATGCATTTAACCTATGCCAAGCTTTCAAGTGCTGTTAGAACATACACATCTTTTCTTCCTCTTCTAGACAAGGTTTAGTGGCCATGCAAAGACAAGAGGGCATGCAGGACAATGGACCGACTTACGCAGCCTGTGCAAAACAAGGAGCTCCAGTTGAGGTGGCCTTGCAGGCTTTCGCCAACGATCCCGCACAGGGTGGAAACAACAGCCACTTTGGATGCCCCTTCTGCTGACTCACTTCGGAAGGAGCATTTAAAATAAAAAAAGTAAAAAAGAGAGAAAAAGAAGGAAGAGAGGAAGCAGGAACGAGGGGAAGCAAACAAAAACTATGGCAGAATTCAACAGTAAGAGAAAAGAGAACAGAAATGGAGAGGATGGCGAATTTTCTACAAAAGGCGTTTTAGGGACTGCTTCTTGTGGAGTCTCACTGCAGCCTCCTGGGAAGTATTTGGTAAAGGAAGGAGGAACTTTAAAGCTAGGACAACAAAACCAAACCCAGCTATACCCCCGTCTCATTTTATTGAGAGTGTTCCCTGTCAAACCTTTGGCAAACACTTGGGCATGTGGCTCTCACATTCCCAGCCTGTGTGGTTTGGTTTTCATTCTGCTGATATTACATCACATCCATAGGAGATCCCAGCCAAACTGTAGTTTTTGCACAGCAGAATACTCCCTCACACCCCTGTTTTGACAGGATGCCTGGTGTAAATTGGGATGGGTTGGTCAGAAGTATTTGTTCAACGTGAACATCTGGATGCTTGCGGTAAAAGCTCCTACTTATTTCACTGCATAGTGAACCGCCTGCCATTGGGATGAAAGAGCTGCTCTCAAACCACAAATTAATTTCGCGTTTGCAGCACAAGAGAAACTCCTATTAATTCAGTGTGCAACTCAGGAACCTCCTAGGACTTCTCCACAAAGATAACATCTGTGGGACAGGATTACTAGCTTTTGTGTTGGTGTCAAAAGTTTCACAATATTTGTTTTCCTTAGAGCTAAGGGAATAGGAAGAATGTCAGTTTTCATTTTACTGATCTTCATATTAGGGGAAAAAAATTGAAGGCGGGAACTCTAAAGGCTGAATATTGATGAGTTTTTTTGAACACCTCAGGTTGGTCACACTGCTGAAGTGACTTGGTTGCAGAAAATGCACGGGAATCTCTAACTAACCTGCACCAGTTTCCCTAAAAGCCTGCAGAACGGGGAAGACGCAGGATGTTCCTCTTGACACGTTGACCTTAGCTCCCATCTTACCCACTCCCCACTATTCGAAGCAATATAATACCATGCTTGGGGTGAGCAGGGGATGCCTAGGGAAGGAAATTCTGAACTCTCTTTTCTCCTCCATCTCATATTAATGGAGTTCAGATGATCTTCAGAGGAGAAGACACAGCCTGGAAACAAGAGGCATATGTAGAAAACCTCTGAACACAGGCGTGCGTTTCTCTTCCATAGGCTGAGCTGACTGCACCAGCTACACGTGGCAAAAGAGGCTGGCCAAGTTGTCATTACAGCTGTGTGGCACACTAGACTCCTACCTGCTTTTCATGATGATACAGTGATGCCAGTGTATATGGCAGGATCTGGAGCGCAGAGAAGGTGAAGCCCGTCAGAGCAGCCGAGATGGTAACGACAACGACACTGTGGGAAAGGCACATGACGAAAGCAGCCATGGGGAAGAACATCACACTGGCCAGGTAGACTGCCCGTGTCCCAAACTGCTTCACCATCCAGTCCATGATTGTCGAGAAAAAGATGGATGTGACACATTGCAGGAAGAGGCCCAAACTACCCATGCGGACACCTGCAGATAAGCAGAGGTGGTGATAGGAACTGCCCCAGGTTCAGTCAGCCAGACACCCTTGGGCCTCATTCCCTCCCCTCCAGTGTCCAAGGACAGACCACGCCAGGACAGACCATGCAGAGTGTGGCACAGTCCCAGACAGCCAGGACAGCATGGCACAGTCCCAGTCAGCAGAGCAGCATCACCTTAGGTATCCTTGGATTGTGTCAGCCAGACTACACCTCCTAACTCCACTGGCAGGGAGTATTTCCCACCCATGCTCCTGGACACTCCAGGCTAACTGGAAGGGCAATAGGAATCCAGATGCCATTACTGTCTTTGAAAGTCCCTGTACTCACCTTCCCACTCTTAAGACCCAGGATTTGTCACCTGCTCATGAACCAGGATGTGCTATCTGATGCCAAAACCAGCAACAGAACAAAAGGAACAAGGAATTGCGCTTAAGCCAATGGGAAAATACGCAACATCCACTAAGTGACTACAATATCCGGTAGCAACCCGGACCTTACCCTTTGCAAAGATTTATCAGATTTCAGGGAACTAAAACCATTAACTCTTTGAAGCATGGATCATTACTCAACACAGGTTTCTATGACAGCTAGCACAACGAGGTCCTGACCTGCTGGAAGCTCTACATTGCAAGTGTTAAATAATAATTAAGCTCCCTCTAAGTTAAACAGACACTCTGCACAAAGAGGCAGTGTACTGCAGAGCTCATGGAGGCAGTGAGCAGAAAACTCAAAGGGCAAGATATACAGCTAGAGGAGGAGGGCCAGGGAAGCGCCTCCAAGAATAAGGCACAGATCTGGAAGAGGAAATGAAGAGCTGGGCAGCAGAGTCAGGGCTCTGGCACAACACAGCAGCCAAAACAGGGGACAGCAGGCAACAACAGTGAGCAGGTAACGAGTTGCAGTGAGCACTATCTCATAATGTAGACATGGCAGCTACTGTGGACTGTGTAGTGGTAAGCTCTATCAGAAAGCACTGGAGAGAGGGGGGAGAACAGGAGAAGTTGCTTGAGGACCTCCTGGGTAGAGATGCGAGATGGAAATCTCACAGCAGCATGAAAGGCAGATGCAGCAAAGCCCACATCACTGGCTCCTGAGCGCTCCCTGGCTTTCCAGGCCTTAGTCTCCAAGGGACGGGGAGCACCATTATCCCTCATTTAGAAAGGACGGAACAGTAGTGAAAGGACCTGGCAGAGGCAACAACAGCTCACAGACAGATCTGGATACATCCTGTTCACTATGCTTCCTGCTGGGCCATTCTGCCACTTAACAATTCAGGCCTGGGCCAGGGCTGCACTGTCCTGTGCCTGGTAGCTCAGAGGAGAAAGAGGTGTTCCCCCATTCGGTCCACCATGCACTGCTCTGTGGGCTGTGAGGGAATGCTTCTTCCTGAACCTTCTGCAGAAAGTTTACAGTTTCCCTTAACATGTGATTTTGCATAACTAGCAGAGCTCAGTCTATTCCTAGCTCCCACTAAATGCTCCTGTTCTAAGGAACAGGCCCTGTCCTGCAGCCTCAGAGCAGCTGGTTCGCTTCTTACCTTCATCGTAGTGGCGTCTGGCATCTGTGCCTGGCTTTGCTCTGGGGACGCCATGGTAAAGGCCTTCCCCGACAAAGTCTGTGTAGAAAAGCATGAAAGTCATGAGTGCCATCCAGCTGCAGAGCTCAGCCACGAACAGGCGCCGGATGACCTTGGGGATGCGGCAGTAGAGGCTGTGCAGTCGTGGCACCAGTGTGCAGAGGTTTCTCAGGGCCTGTATCACATGCCTGGCCTGCAGGAGGCTCCTGGAGACCTGGCAAGAGCAGCAGGCAGGAGACAAGGGCTTAGGGGGAGCATCCTTCAGAGTTGGCCCGGCCAGAACATCTGCTTGGGTGTCTGCCTCCTCTGTCACAAAGAAAGTGGCCAGCACACAGCCGAGGAAGATGATGGCGAGGAGGCTGAAGAGGCAAGTCTCCTGTCCACCCAAGTACGGGGCCAGGAAGCTGCCATCCCAGTCAATTGCTGGAAGCAGGTAGCCAATGCAGCCCCCCAAGCTGATCATGAAGGCGTACATGGAGAAGGCCTGGCGGCAGTTGTCTGGCTCCTGGAAGAGGTCTGAGAGCAGGGCCTCCAGTGGAGTAAAGCAAACCTGGCCACAGAAATCCAGTAAGCCAATGCCCAGGATGAGGAAGGCAATCTCCAGTGGGCGAGTGTTGAAGGCAAAGAGGCTGGCCAGGCTGCTGGCATGTGGGATAACAAAGAGGCTCAGCAGGACTCCCAGGCACAACATCCAGATGAAAGGCCGCCTTCGGCCATAGCTGCTGTGCCAGTGGTCACTGGCAGATCCGATCAGCGGGACAAAAACAAGGCCAAGGACAGGGCCTATCCCTGGAAGAGAGACAGAGATGGCATTAAGGGGGACCACATCTGGACAGGACATTGGCATCATGGTCTGTGTGCATGGTAACAAAAGCCTGCGACATTTCAGGAACTCGGCACATTTCACTGGCACACAGCTCCCTCCTCCAAACACAAGGTTGCCCTTGAGATAACAGTATCCCTGCACACCATCCCGCAGAGACAAGCCTCCATGCCCTTATTGCCCCCCCCCCCCCCCCCCCCCCACCCCCAC